GGCACAGCGCCCCCTGCCGGCGCCGCCCAATGGCGGTGCTGGCGGGGGGGGGGAATTGGCGGCTTCCCCGGCGCGCGGCTGTGACGTCAGCCGGGCGGCCGTCGTGGCGGAGCCGCCGCCATGGGGAAGAGCCGGTCTCGGTCGGCGAAGGCGGCGAACGTCTTCCGCATCGCCCGCAGCGGCGCCGTCAAGGCCAAGGCGAAGGGCAAGGCGCGGCCCGTCACCTCCGGGCTGAAGCAGGTGAGTGGCGCGGGGGACGACGACGACGACGACGGCCTGCCGCGGGGTGGGCGCGGTGGCTTCCCGCCGGAGGGCCTCGGTCCCGCCGCGTCGCCCGTAGGCCCCGCGCGAGGCTTCGGCCTGGCGGGCCCGGCCGCTCCCGCGGCGTTTCCTCCGGGCCGGGCTGGCGCGGCCTTTCCTCCCGTTGGGCCTCTTCTGCGGGGCGGAGGAGGCGCTCGTGACTGACTAAGCAGGGCCGCCTTATGGAGAGAACCCTTCTGGGCACGACGTTGCAAAGTGCACGATTTCCACCTGAAAATTAGGCTTATATGTGCATGACATCGTCCTCACGAAGAGAAGCACGAAAAGTTCATTTGACTAATCTCCTGCAGGCATCTGCCACATACGACTTCGAGCTGGTCTCCTTGCGGGGGGTCATTTAGAGAGTATCCAGTAGCATCTCAGGATATCTGTCCTTGGGAATGTGATGCTAAAGACAACATCAGTAGTTCAGTGAGTTTACGTTTACGAGACCACGCTTGCAGCGTCACTGATGGTGTAATTCAGGGTACGGTTTAACAAAATGACTTGATCCAAACCGGGAGGCACAGATACTGCAAAGGGAGGTCCTGCTTCTTCCCGACCCCAGCCCCCTTTAGCAGGCTCCGGCCTCTGTTCCCGCAGCTCTCCTTGATGCTGGCTTGGGAACTCCTCGCATACTAGGTGATTCAACTTGCTAAATCAGCAGAAAAAGCAATTAAAAATGCATTTTGCATTTTTCTGTGCTGGGTTGGTGAGTTGAACAAACTTAATTATGAATGAGTGCAGAGAGAAACATTTTTTGGGTGAAGAACCAGAAAGGATGGAGCCTTTTCTGATCCAGTAGCTCTTTCTTTGTCTCAGCTGTCAAGTAAAACCATGTCAGTGAGATACAGTGAACAGATCTAGGAGTGTGCACTGCCATGTGTTTTACTGTTAATTCCTCTTTTCCACCTTCTTGCACCTTCGATGGGCTGTGATGCTCTGCAGACCCTTCCTGTGAGCTGATTCAACACACTAAAGCAATGGAAAAGTAAACAAGCAAAAATGATTCTGCCCTTTTCGTGTCCAGAGAGCACCACAGCCCAGAGGAGGGACGGATTGGGTCGTGTGACTGGGAGCAATGCAGGGGAAGAGGGATGGGGTTGATCTAAGCAAGAGTTTTACTCTTGGTAGCAGCAAGTCATTATATGGTATCTCCTTCTCAAACCCTGCCTCCAGCCTGAGATGTGTGATCTGCTGAGAGTTCAGCTGGTCCCTCTAGGAAGGCATCTGAGGAAAAAAAGCAGAAGGTTAGTGGCTTATTGTTCCCATTAGATTTAGTTGTAATCTGCTGGGCAGAGTTAAACAGCAGCTCTAAAAAAAGGCCCTTTCAAATTTTCTCCTGCAGGCTAAAGCCACTTGACAAGTTAATCTGGTAGACCGACAGGAATGTAATAAACTGGAAATAAACAACTTCATGTTGCTGGTGTCACATCTCCACTTAGTCTAGAGGGTTCTGTATAATAAAGGGAGAAACAGGTTTAAAAAAAGATATTCAGGAAAAGTCAGTAGCTTATTAGGAGTAAAATTTTATTCTGTGCGTTTGAAGCTGTATTCTTTAATTCATTAAGCCTTTGGGGATTTACTTATCATTAAGCAGTATAGGAAGATGCTCAGAAAAATTTGTTAAAATAGGTTTATTCTTTAATAGAGAAAAGCCCATTGTAACTATTCAAACAACTTTTGATATAGATACACATGCTAGCTATAGGGCCTCTTTCTATGGAGGAGTCCTGCCAGAGTAGCTGAGGATACCAGGCATTAAAACTGACTGGATCCTTTCAGCACCCCTGTGAAGCTGGAAAATGGTAACAAGCCCTGATGGGAAACCTAAGATTTTTGAAAATTGCATTGTCCACAGTCCCATCCACTCTTGATTTGAGTTAGGAGCCGAGTCTGTATTTCTCAAGTCACAATCCAGTTTATTATGAGTTAAAGTGCTAATCTGAGTAGGCTTATTTTATCAGCCTCTTGCCACTGCTTTTTTACTACTGGTTCTCTTGCTCACTTAGAATAAATGGGATTGTTGTTAATGTATACATGCTCTGAAATTCTGGATGCTTTGAAAGCAAAATGAATATGTGTCACCGTTCGTGGTTTGCTTCTGCCTGTGTAAATTGCTGAGAGGTGAATTACAGGGGTAGCCTTTGGAACAGCAGTAGGTATCCTGAAATTTGGGGTTGCCCGAAGACGTATCGGTGTGCTTCTGGAACATTTGCAATGTAATAGGCCATTATTTGGCTACAGTCCTGTTCCAGACTTGGTGCTTCAGAAGCAACGTGTGCTAGGGCTGAGATCAGCTGAACCTTACTTTGCTGCAGCAGTGAAAGAGTCTATGCCCCCTTGTATCCACCCTGCTCCACAGATTGTTGTCCCCAGAGCACAGCACATGTCCATATCTTAGCTCTTCCCCTTTGAAAGCAAGGATCTTTGGTGAAATAACTTACGAAGGCAGACTTGGGCTAGTAAGTGAGGCTGAGGTGTCCAGGGACTACATACACATCCTGGTCTGCAACAGCCGTAGAAGATTCTTTAAATACCATAGCGAAATCTGGTAGACATTGTTGGCCAGACCTATAGTATGAACACGTAGGAATGCAAGGTGTGTTGTTGAAAGGCAAACTACTGGACGAAATTAAAAATAATAGTAAGATCATTTACAAATTGTATTGGGTTTGTGTGTGTTGTGGTTTAACCCCAGCCAGCAACTAAGCACCACGCAGCTGCTTACTCACTTCCTCCTGCACCCAGTGGGATGGGGGAGAGAATCAGGAAAGAAAAAAAAGTAAAACTCTTGGGTTGAGATAAGAATAGTTTAATAGGACAGAAAGGAAGAAAATAATAATGATGATGATAATAATAAAATGACAATAATAATAAAAGTGGAATATAAAAAACAAGTGACGCACAATGCTATTGCTCAGCACTCCCCATACAATGCCCAGTTAGTTCTCAAGCAGTGATCCATGCCCCCTGCCCAGGCCAACTTCCCCCAATTTATATACTAGAACATGATGTGTCATAGTATGGAATACCCCTTTGGCCA